TTTTCATCTCCATGCTAAAACCAACCAATTACAGGCCATTATCCAGACAGTGCACTCGGAATTAAACAACGGTCGGCAGGGACTGAACTCCCGGGCTGTGGAGCAGCTGTGGAGCATCACCTGACAGGACGCAGGCGAGTTTCATTTAAACATTAATTACATCTGAAGTTTTGAATAATTAGAAACTCATTCTGTTCAAATCAAGTTAACGTGATCAATTACACAGAGACAGCCGAGATTTGTAGCCTCGTTAATAAAAATGGCTTTCGAGGGTAGGCTAATAGCTCTAAATGGCATTTGGCGCCGAAGCATGTCACACACTTGCAGTGGTGTAATGTAACAAAGAAATAATACTTTGTTACAGTACCTACTTAAGTATTTTTTGGGAGTATCTGTACTTTACTTGAGTTTTTATATTTCAGCTAACTTTTACATTTACTCCACTACATTTCCTAATTAAAATGTATACTTTTACTCCGATACATTTCCCCGAAGCATATTCGTTACTTACTACAAAATAGTCAGAAGTCAGAAGAACACGGACTGCAGGAAAGCAGGGGCCTGTACCATGAAGCCAGATTAGCTGGCTAGCCAGGTAAGTTTCAGTTTAGTTTGCACCAATCCTGGGTTTTAGGTACCAAGAATGTGGCTTGGCTTTTAGCGGCATTCATTGCCTTAGTAACACTCCACAGCTAACCTGCTCTGGGACAGGTTATGTTCTGGTTTAGAGATCTCAAAGCGAAATTTGACCAATCAGCTTCAAGCAAAGTGACACATGTCTGACGCAATAAAGCCACTCCCCCAGTTTCTCTTACTCCAAATTAAAGGACGCTACATAGTAAAACATTTTTTAAGATAAAATTGTCTGAATTAATATCACATACTTTACCACTTTTACTTGAGTAATATTCTAAACGGTTACTTCAACTTCTACCGAAGTAATTTTCTGGTAAGATATCTTTACTTTTACTTGAGTATGGCTTTCAGGTACTTTATACACCACTGCACACTTGTTATGACAAAATGCAGGGATGTGCTTGAATTTACTATTACGATGAAAATTAATAAACAAAAAACAGGCAACTGTAAAACATTACACACAATTCAGCCAATCATTCATCTTCCCTGTTAATAACTAGTCTAATGTATGTTGTGCTTTGGATGCTGTTGTTCCTATTTCAAGGGATAGTTCACCCAAAAATGAAAATTGTCTTCATTTACTCACCTTCATTTTGTTTCAAAATCTGTATGATTTTCTTTCTTCTGTAGAACACAAAAGAAGCTATTTTGACAAATCTTTCAGCTTTTGTGCCCATGCAAATGACAAAACAATATTGGATTCCATTGACTTTCATTATGTGGACAGTTAAAAAAAACTGATACATTCTTCAAAATATCTTATTTATTTTTAAGAATGACATCATAATAAATGTTGACAGATTTTCATTTTTAGGTGAGCTGGCCCTTTAACTACAAGCTTAAACAGAAAGCCTCCATTGGTCAACAAGCTTCACCAGAAGTACCATGCAGGTTGATGGAAATTCCTTCCGGTCTTTTCAGCAGACTTGTTTATTTTTTCACATGATTATGCTACAAAAAGTGGAAATGTGATGGTAAATCAGGACATATCCATGGTCGCAGGATGAAAATTTGGATTTTGTACAGGTGCTTGATTGGAATAGTTCTCTGGTTGTTTACTCTGCAAAGGTAGTAATGAAATTTCAGTGGCACAAAACCATCATCTGAGTTGGGATAAAAGAATGGACCTAAACACAGAGCCTCTACTTAGTAATTCCATAGAGTACATGGGGAAACTCTCCATCTGTTGGTAAAGCAGACTGGTTCAGCTCTGGAGTAAGAGAACAGATGTAGCAGATTCATCAGAGATCATATGGAACACATCCTGTCTAGCAGTACTCAGATTCCCTGCAGACAGGCAACCGGTAGTTCCACGAAATTTTAACTAAATAGCAAAAGGTCCGGTTCACAAAGAACTTATTCTAGCCAAGAGTCTGACTGACATGTAAAGTGACCAACCACAGTTTATTTTATGTTTACTCTGAAATATATTGTGAAACCACAATAATACACTGGAGTGGAGATAAACTATATTATATAAAATTATGTTATATACACTATTGTTCAATTTTTGGGGGTCCTTTTTTTAAGAAATTAATGCTTTTATGCAAGGATGCATTAAATTTAAATTGTTCGAAAGATTTCTATTTCAAATAAATGCTGTTCTTTACATTTTTTTTAAGAATCCTGAAAAAAATGTTTTAAAATCATTTCAAACAACAGTATTAAACGTTTTATGTTAAAAACAAAACATTATTTATCCATCTGTAACTGCATGTTAAATGCATCCATGTCCCCTCTGAGATACATTAAACTGTGTAAATACATCTAAATGCTATTTCAGATGCAGATTCCAGAAATGTTTTCTAAGAAATTAATGCTTTTATGCAAGGATGCATTAAATTTAAATTGTTCGAAAGATTTCTATTTCAAATAAATGCTGTTCTTTACATTTTTTTTAAGAATCCTGAAAAAAAAAATATATATATAACTATTACATTGATAATAATAAGACATTTTTCTTGCACCCCAAATTGGCATATTAGAATCATTTCTGAAGGATCATGTGACTTTGAAGACTGTAGTAATGGCTGCTGAAAATTCAGCTTTGCCATCACAGGAATAAATTACATTTTAAAATAGATTCAAATAGAAAACAGTTATTTTAAATTGTAATAATTGTAATTTTAAATTGTAATAAACAAATTTCACAAAATTAGTTTTACTGTATTTTTGATCAAATAAATGCAGCATTGGTTAGCATAAGACATTTATTTCAAAAACATTCAAAAATCTTGCCAACCCCAAACATTTGAACAGTAGCGTATATTTTAATATGATAAAAAAGTTTAAAATATTTTAAATATATTTTAAATATAGTAAACATTCTTCACAATTCAAACCAGAAAACACTAGAAAAATATAGGAAAATGTGTAGTCTGATTAGAATTTCTGCACACATTTATACACTAAAAACTGCAGTGCTAAACATAACTATTTTATATGACATTCTACTGGAAAACAGCTTCCACAACTTTCTACCACCCAGAGGTATTTCTGTGAAAAGAAAGATAAACACCCAGAAGATGCACACTGATGGTCACAGCTGCTAAAAACAAACTCAATTTGAGCTTTTGAATCGTATCAGCACAACCTAAGCTGATCATCAGTATAGCAGCAATCTTTCACATTTGATGTTTCTTAAATGAATCAAATAATGACAAAATATCATACTCTCTGCCACATTATTGCTTGAACATCATGATTATTTGCTTTTTGCTTTTTTTTCAGTCATTCCATGGCTATTTTTTCCCCCTGGTGTAATACATATGTAAATGAAGAAGAAAGCCAAAATATTAAATGCCATGGATAAATATTTTTGGTGTAATGCACTATTTTGTGAAGGGGGGTTAAAATGAAACTTTTCACCTGAGATTTTGAGCCAAATTACAGAGGGGAAAATTATTTTAGAAAGATGGCAGCATCATTTTATTTTTACACAGAGATTCATAGGTATATCAGTCAAATCTGTTGACTTTAGCAATCCTTGTTGCATTATATGCCAATGGTGACAGTTCAAAAATGGGAAAAAGCATTACTGAGATACCTATAATACTTCTTAAATTAGGCTTCATTGAGTGAGGCATGGAAACTGCATGAACTGTCACCATTGGCATTTAATGCAACAAAGATTGCTAAAGTCAACAGATTGTACTCATAGACCAACCAATCTCTGTGTAAAAATAACATAATGATGCTGCCATCTTTCTAAAGTCATTCCAGCCCAGAAAATATTCATCCATGACATTTCATATTTTTAGTTTCTGAAATTTGACACAGACTGACCCTATTCTGACTTCCATCCAATATATCAGGATCTGTACAAAATAAAACTTTTATTACAGATATTTTTTGTTGAAAAATATATCCCAACTGCAATATAAATACTCCTCTCTGTTGGCATCCTTGCAGCAGGTAATAATTAGCACAGCACCACAACAGCTGGAGTTTCCCTTTTCTTTTTCTTTCTCTCTTTTGCTTGGTCCCTTTCACACATACGGGATCAGAGGTAAGGTGGGGACTGGGTGGCAGGTGCTTCTGTTCCCTGTGTCCTGATTGGCTATGACAGCTCTCAGACGACACACAGCTGCCAACATGTCTGCAAGCCTCACCTAGGCCATGAAAATGAACACACACACACACACACACACACACACACAAGTATAGCCTACCAAATATTCATGAACACAACAAACTGATTGACACACACTGGATAGTACATAGGCCTATGGAGACCCACGAAGAAACAGTGCAGTGCAAACACACAAATATCTGCAACACCGAAAGTACAAAGCAAAAATAATGTGTCCTTGTAGAGCACATAAATCACAACAATGCAGCACCGTGAACAGGGCTGTCTGTGATCCAATAATGCTGATGCAATGAGTACCAGCAGTCTGGCTCAATGTGCTACTGAATCAAAGAGCACAGGGGCATGATTCCTCTCGACACACACATACACAGGGTCTTGTTCAGGTACAACAGCGTTCTCGTGGTAAAATTCACACAACACTGCATGCACACAAATGGGCTCTTATCCTCAATCTAATGTTAAATCCTCATTGCTAAAATGATTCTAAGAGACCTGTAAACACTGGCGACAGTACAGTACATACTGACATGCATGTCTGTGAGTGTATGTGTGAGTGCACCTGTCATAATCTCCATTGCACAGCGCTCTGACAGGAATGGTGAACAGCTGCCAGACAGGGTTCAGCGTATTCTTTACCACCTCAGTTTTATGGCAGATAGTGAACCTAAGAAACAAAAAATAAAGATGTTAAACTCAAACAAAGCAGTATGCATTGCATGACTATATTTTTTACAGTCAGAATATTTGCATATTGTAAGTCTTAACTGAGTTAAGAGTACTAAGTGAATTTTATTATCTAGAACAATTTTAAGACATTCCTTAGTCTCAGACCAATTTTCTTCACTTTTCCTTGGACATTACTTTACGAAAAGACGACACGCTTTCCAGCCTGCACATCAGAGTGAGAAAGACAGCTAACTCACGTTCCGTCCTCATTACTTCTGTAGAACACCATGAACGGGTCAGAGCGGCCAAAGAAGTCTTTCTTATCCAGCTTATTGGCACAGAACTGCATTGTTGCACAGTCCTGTGAAATTGAGAGAAAGAACGAAAGAAACAAAGAAAAAGGGGGAATGGGAAGGAAAAATGTAAGTTAAAAGATAGAAATAGCACAGAGAGCATCAAAATCTAGTGAAATCAGGGACACATAGGCTTTTTCTTGCACAGCTTAGAAGAATGACGATATTCTGGACCCTCAGGCACAATTCACCCCCCAACGCGTCCATACAGCACAGCCGCATACTGTATGCACACACATTTTATAAAGTCATATGTTTCAGACTCCTGCATCTACACTCCATTCAGAAGTTTTAAAGGTAAAATAACTACTTTGAACAACTCTGAAATAAATAATTTGCTAATGAACAAATCCTCCCACAATTTCCACTGACCCTGAATGTGGCTCAATATTTAGCTCTCAAAAAATATGGCTAGCCCTTTTTTAATCACAGTATTTCACACTATGTCAATACTGACATCCCCCTACAACACTGTGACTGTAATTTTTTCATTCTGATGGACATCATTTTCTGTCTTTTTCCAATGGCACAATGGTAGTTTATGTAACGTTTTTGTTTAGTGGAGTAGTTTTATGCAGATTCATGTTTATCATGAGGTAGGGTTATCTAAAATCATCTTTAATTATGAAAATCTGCACAAAAAAAAACATAAAAAAATATGTATAATGATTATCGACAATAATATGAAATTAATTATTGTTGTATTGTATATAATATTGAATAGAATGTAATTTGATCATCACTGCATTTATAATAATTATGCACTTTACTGACACATAAACAGTGTTGTTATTGTTTTAAAAAAAAATGAAATTTTGCCATGGCAGCTAAATACAGAAATATTAAAACGTGGCAAAAATACTAAAATGTTAACTAAAATTAAAAAATATAAAAACAAAAGCCAATTCAAAATATAAATAAAAATAACAATGTCATGAACAAAGGCTGAGGATCCAAGTGCAGTAGTTTATTAGGATAACCCAAAATTGTTGCCAAAACAGGCATGAGGTCAAACACAATAAGCAATCCAAACAATGACAGAGTTCAGAGCTGAGGCAAACAGAGTAATCCAGATAAACAGGCAGAATATCAAGAACCAGGAAAACAGGACACGAGAGAACCAGGATAAAATGCTTAGAACTGCAGCTGTGACACATGCAAGACCTGCAAGAGTGACTGAAAACTAGTGATGGGACGATTGATACCGAGGCTCCGATACACTATTGCATCACACGCTGTGCCGATGCTTGTATCGAAATGACAATACCACGTGATTGATGAAGTTTGAAGCTTCGAGTGTCATGCAGTATCAGAAGGTCGGGACAGCTGGTTTGAAAAAATCGACGCTTCACATGACTCTTGTGTTTGACTTACATTGACTTGGTTGTGTATGTGTGTGTGTGTGTGTGTGTGTACACTTTTTTGGGATTCAGTAGAATACTTTAGAACAACCTCAACACCAGACAGAAACTGAATGCACCTCACACCTCTATTGCATTTGATCATGTTCTATAGCTGGGATCTCAGAGACCCCAAACAGCTCACCCAAAATATTTTTGCTACTACTCACATCAATTATTAATTATAATCACACACTTGTATATTTTATATTATTGATCAATATGTGAATCCGTTGACCGGACTACGCATGACACGAGTTGGCACAGTTTTTTAAACCATTCTCTGGGTTAAGGCTAGATGGCATACAGCAAAAACTACTGGGCATGTGCACATCAATATAGCGTAATTTCTCACACTGTACAACAATTACTATTTTTGCATTATTGTAAGGGGTAGGTTTAGGATTGGGGTAGGTGTAGACGTTAATAAAACACAATCTAATAGGTAGAATTTAATTTACTGTTAGCTTCCGGTTTTTGCTGTATCCCTCCTAGCCACAACCCATCCTCTAGTGATGGGACGGTTGATACAGCGGCTCCGATGCTCCGACGCAGTTTTCAAAGCACTATTGTATCACACACTGTGCCGATGCTTGTATCGAAATGAAAATACCATGTGATTGATGACGTTTGAAGCTTCGAACATCATGCAGTATTGGAAGATCGGGACAGCTGGTTTGAAAAAAATTGGAGCTTCGCAACCCCACCTGATGCAAGGGACTGTAACCTCAACACCGGACAGAAAGTGAATCATATTTTATAGCTGGGGTCTCAGAGACCCCAACATAAAGGTCGAACAGCTCACCCAAAATATTTTTTTCAGCTACCTAGGTCAATTATTAACTATGATCACATGCTTGCGTATTTTATATTATTGATCAATATGCAAATCCGTTGACCAGGCTACACATGACACGAGTTCTGGTCTCATTGGCACATATTAATTTAGATGAGATTATATCAGATTAGTTGGAACTGATCCCAGATTTATTCCACTCTTGTGTGTCACTGACTTCCAAAGCTCTGTATGGTCACGTGATTTTGCAAACCGTATATCCTCTGCTCCGCTTTGATTTGTTAGATATGGTGGAGAAAACAAGTCTGACCACCAGATGTCGCTAATGCGCATTGTGTCAAAAGCTTCAAGTAATGAACCTTTTTTCGGCACAATTTAATGAAAGCCTCAAATGGTTCAGGAAGCCTCGGTTTCCCATCACTACCATCCTCTGCTCCACTATGTTTTGTTAGATTTGGTGGAGAAACCAAGTCTGACCACCAGATGTCGCTAATGTGCAGTGTTAAAAGCTTCGAGTAATGAACCGTTTTTCGGCACAATTTCATGAACACCTCAAACAGTTCAGAAAGTCTCGGTTTCCCATCACTACTGAAAACACCAGGCTTATATAGGCAGAGGCAATGAGCAACAGGTGAAAACAATCAGGCATGATGAGTCCGGGCAATGGGTTATGGGAAATGAAGTCCAGGATACAGTGGCAAAGGTACTGGATGGAGTGCCCTCTGGTGGCCATCAAGAGCACTCCAGCTGGTGATTGTGACAAACAATAGTATAATACTAAAATAACAGTCCACATGAATCAAGATACCAATATAATTTTATTATGACCTGCAATTTCTTGGGATAAAGAAGAAAAATGTTTGAGGCCCCTAAATGGTTATTTTGTGGCCCAAATGGTTTATTTGTGCCTGGCATCAACAAGCATCAATTCCATTTGAACCAATTAGCTGCTAAACACTATCTTGCATTGAGAGTGCCATTCAGAGAATGATGAAATTGTAGGCTGGAGTCAGTGAGGAGAGAGGAAGAGTGAGTGAGAGAAGAGATTGAAAGTGAACTAGACCATTTCCAAAGGAATCATTCACATGATGTCCAATGTGCAGTTGACACTGCAAATTACACTCCAGTAATGACTGACATCATCGTAAACCTGCTTGCAAGGGGCTTCTCAGGCCAGAGGGATGTTATCAACACAATAGAGACAACCCTCATTAGCAATAATGGTATGGTGTGAGGTCTAACTGATACGAAGTCATTAGTCTTAATGGTATATCTACTGATGAACATGCAGGGGAATAGCCAGGGGAATTTCCACGCTCTAGGGACAATTCACCTTATATTTGATGGCTGAGGGAGCACCACCTTTCATTACACATTACTTGAATTGTTTCTTGACTGAAGCTAAACCACAGTGTGTGGAGGGCTTTGCACATGATTAACAGACCCATTCAAACCAAGCATTCACAGCGATTATGATCCCATGAATAGGACCTTAGTGGCAAGATCAGTTCAAGCTGAAAAGAATTTGAGCAGAGAAAAGTGAAATATCAACCTGCTTGTTTTTAATCCAGCCTCTACGAATTGAGCAATGGAGCATGAGCGTCTTCTTGCGGATTGCAATTCTTTCTTTAGCAACCGTAAACACAACTTATACGACAGCATAGTTAGTCATAAATGACAGTCAGTCAAAGTGCTTCACATCACAGCTCAAGCTACCTGTCTTTGGCCACATTGTACTTCAGAGATTAAACATTTCACTCATTATTTTGGGTTTGCAGGTTTTATCTGGTCTCTGAATGGGATTCATCTATGTAACTTTTTGGAAAGAGACAGACTTTTGAAGATATTTGCAAACCTCATTCCTGCTATTAAGCAAAGGGTTCGTCTCCACATGGTGCATTTCCTCATAGCTGTTCTTTTGCGTGTACCTGATCAAAACCCAGCCTTTCATAACATCCTGTAAAATCTTTTGATCTACCATGTGAAATAAGCAGATGTGCCAATATATTACCCTCACAGAGGGGAAAAGCTTTTTGAGCATTTCAAATGGGCTTGAGTGAGGCTGTGAGTGTGTGCAATAGATGGCTCAAATGAGCAGTCCTTTGTGTGTGTCTGAGCCTGTAGTGAACGCAACATAGCCATTTACAACCCAGAAAACCTGTAATTTACTCTGCACTGCTATTTCAGCAATTTAATGAGCACTATCACCAGTGACAGAGTAAACTTTACTAGACAGAGGGACAAAACTGGAACATTCCAGTGAGAAGACATGATAAAGAGATGGGAGGGATGAAGATAGAAACTTATTTGTCTTGACTTCCTCCACTGAATCTACAAATGGAATGGTTATTTTTTTACCAAGCAGTCTAAAGAGAATATGATTAAATAAAATGACCGTGGACTGCAAAATAAAACATGATTTTCTTTGATTTTGCTGGCTAACTATTGTAGTCAAAACAAATGAGTCAATTATTTTAATGATTCCCACAAAATGATTTAAAATAGTTTTTTCAACTCCTTTACTCTGAACAAACTGACTGAATCCATCAAAGTGGATCCTGAATTAACATCTGTCTGACTTGAAATGAAGCAAGAATTCAAGAATTACTGCCTGAGGATTCATATGACAATGCATAGCAAAATATACTTTTTTGGGGGGCATTTAATGATATTTAAAATGTAATTAAATCAAAACATTAAATGATTCATTAAATATTTAAATGTTATAAAAAATATTTTTATTAAAAATAATAAATAAATATATAATAAATATAACAAATTGCACACATTTCTATATTGTTTTGTATATAAA